AACAATATGGGTAAGTTCAAACATGAACAGGGTCCAAACCAAAAGTTCCCTTAATTACTGTCTCCTATAGTGCTGAACATAAATTGAATTTGGCTGTTTTTCACTAGAATGAACCATTAGGCAATTTTTAAAGGTAATGCATATTTTTTGGTACCTTGCTGAATTGATTCTTTGAAACTTGATCCAGTAAACTTCAGTGAAAGGTTCTGTTGGGTAGTCATCTAGGATGCGATACCTTAAATATTCAATAGGAAACATATTGTAAAACTTCAATTTTTGAAGAAATAAAGGTGTCAAGTGACAAAAGGATGCAACCATCTTGTATTCAGTGACTTATTTAGATATAAGTCAATTCCAAGACAAAATGCAATACATGCATCAATGTATGTCTCCTTTTTGTTACTTTTTTTTATACATATCTAACAAACAGAAAATATCTCCAGTTTACAAAAAAGGGAAATATTTCTACATTAGCTCGATTTTGTGGTTTGCACCAACATGATTCTAATTACCTTATGGTAAGGGATATTTCTGATAGAAGTTCATGAATCCATTCTGTTCAAACTTTCACTTTTAGAACAAAGGTCATTTAACTCAACAATAGAACCCCACCAACTGGGGTTAGGGGGGGTTAGAGTTAGCTGATAGTAAATAACTGAAAAAATAAGGTCAAGGGAAATCAGACCTTGTTTTTAGTTAATGGGGATTCAAGTTGACTGGATAAAGGTTAGGAAAGTTCTACAGTATTATTTTTGATAGAGTCAGGGGATTCAAGTTAACTGGATACCAGTTGGGGAAGATCTACAATATTAATTTTGATAGAGTCAGGGACCCTCAAACAAAAACAGTTTTGCTTATGTAAACATATATCAAAATATTGTGGTTTTCTTTTTTTTTCCTGGCTAATAATTTTTAAAACCAGCCTGATTTTCACTTCCTTTTGTTTAAGGTAATGGTAACAAATACAAGACAAAGGAAAATAAGATCGGCTGGTTTCATTATGGAACAAAGCTGCTCAAATATCAGGTAAGCTTACTCATCAATAGCTCCATAGAGTGCAAAGAGTTCCAAGAGTTCCTTTTTCACACCCACAGCAGGAATACCCTGGACCAGAACATACTTTGACTCCAGATTTATGGTGTAAACCTTGAAAATATAACAAGTCAAGGTAATGTGTCAATCAATTCAAAGCCATTTGCTTAGAAAGGCAGACTCTTTACCTTCAAACTCTTTGTGTATTCTGCTTGTTCAAATTTCCCACCCCAGCTGAGCAAGGTTCAAATTTTCATAGCACCCAATGTCACAGGTTAACAAATACAAGCATAGCAGAGAAAGAAGACCTTTCTATTCAAAACGTATCCCCACATCCCAAGTTAATTTTTAGAGAAGACAGCATGATTTATATAACTTTCTTGCTTCTTTGCCTCTTTGCCAGGGATGAGATCATATGATGTTCCTCTCGCCTTCCAACATTTTAATATCAGTGCACATGTTGAAACCTTTAAACTTCCAGTGAATCACACGCTAGCGCAAGTAAGTTGGATTGTGTATTCCGATATAGACACGATTTCCACAAAACCCCATACTCTGTTATGCTCGTGGTTCTGGGGTAAAAGAAAATGATAGAATGCCTTTGGGATAACGAATAACAGAATAGTATGAGGTTATATGGAAATATTTCCCTGGTATTTTATGCCAAATCACACCCAGATGCTCTTCAACAAGCCGACAACACCTGTATTCCACCTCTTCCCAATATCTACAGTTCGTTTCATAGACTGGTGGTAAGTTAAATTTGAACTCAGTGTGTACGAACGTAGAAAGCTGTTCCTAGTTCATAAAATGCTATCTTTTCACGCTTTTACTGTTTCAATTTCTTTGTTGTCTTTGTTCCATGTCACATGTGAACAGAACAGTTTCTTACACCGAATATGCAGCCACTTCTGTGGCCGGTGAGCCTTTTTTGCTCAAGTTTATTTGCAAACATGATGAAAACCCAACTAAAGATAGTGACTACAACACAATCACATACCTTTACTGCCCTTTCCCAACGAGCCTCTCGGTACTTTGGCCTATTATAATTTAAATTTGCCTGCTGGTGATGTTTCTTTACTGTAGACACTCTGTTCGAGTCATCCGCCATTTTGCCGAATAGTATCACATCAATTATATCTACACCACATCAGGAAATATCCTGTGATCGCCGCTGACTGTGACACACAGCAGAAGACGAACGCGAGACAAAAGAACAAGTCACGCTAAAATCACGAAATACTTAATATTGCGCTCCAAATTATTTTTGGTTATTTGGTTAGCATTTAATATTTTTTCAGCATGACCACGAAGAAGAAAAAACAAGCTTCTAGTCAACAGAGCCAGAAATCTGGCTCTGGAAGCACAGCACAACCCAAAACTCACGGGCGTTTCAAAATGAAACCAAAACAAAGAGACCAGAACGCTAAATATTCTTCACCGTCGATTGTTCCATTTACGAAATATGGCATCGGCTACGCTTCTTTAGTATTGATTATCGGTATGTATTTCGCGCTCTTAAGTTTTTGCTGTTTCCTAGGATCAGGTTTTCTTACACGTGAGTTCAGTGAGGCTTGAGAATTTCTAAAGTATCTTCAGTTTTGTGACATGTATTCCCAGATAACCCTAACTTGAAAATTTCTGATTCTTTTCTGTAGCTGTGAGTTTTGGAATATTTCAAAGGTAAAGTTGTCTTTTTAAAATGATTGCATTTATAATAATCAATATCGTCTGGTAGACTAGAATTGAAATTTTAATATTAAGGATACCCTGAACAATAAAATTGCAATTAGAACCTTTAACAATGACTGTAAACATTTGCGCTCATCTGGTGGTTTATTTTTGTTCTTTCAGCTACCACGTGTCTCGAATGTTTGAAAACGAGCGATTTTTCTCGCATTTGTCAGCGTTGGAAAGAGAATTGTCTTTTAGGACAGAGATGGTAAGTTTTTTATCTCTCTTTTGAAGACACATGCGGGGTTTTCATGTAGAAGAGAGAGGATCGAATAATTGTGAAGTAATGACGGCCCCACGTTCGAATATGATATAGTTAAGACTATCAAGAGCTCATTGTAATTTAACTGGTTAATTCTTCAAGTAAATATCTTGTACCTGAAGCAATATGTTTAGATGTATTGGCAAATCCAGGGAGAGGGTCTAGAGGTTCTCCCGCCCCCCATTGGTTATGAGGATTTTTACTATTGTTTGCCACCAAAATTCTTGCAACAACAGGATTAAATATTATAACTACTAAGTATAAAGTGTTAAAATTTTTACTTCTTTTGAAATATTTTTTAAGGTAATTTAAGCTATAGTGAAAAAAAGAACTATCTTTTCTGATTTAAAGTTTGGAACACTTCCCACCCTCCCAGTCAAATACATGGCAAGTTTTGCTAATTTATTGGTCAATAACACTTTAACACTGAGAGAAGATGGAGATTGCATGAGACTGCCTCAAAGCCAGCACTGCTACTGCTATATATAAATTAACTCATAAGGCAGTCTTTCACTGCACTACAATAAGCAAATTAGTTTTTGAAATTTGCAATTAAAGGAGTATGATATATTAAGACGCTGTTAAGATTCATGAAGAGTTTTTCCATCCTCCAAATCTGTAGAAAAAGAATGAGACTATTAAAAACTAGTAGTCACTCAGGACCTTTGGAAGAAGCAAATTATTTCCCTGAAGTTATTTTATTATATTGAGTATAATCTACCAGTAAATATTTTGACAGCTTTTTTATGGTTTCATGATTATTTGAAAGTATAACAACAAAGTATGATTAAATGATATGTTTTATCCAAACAGGGCTTGTACTATTCATATTACAAAACTATTGTGGAAGCTCCAACATTCCTTGACGGAGTTTATTCTGTTATGAATTGCAATGTAACAGAATATCCAGACACCATCAATACTCTGAAAAGGTTTAATTTATATCCAGAGGTAAGTAAAAAGGAATTTGGTTAATGGCTAAGTGGATTAGCAGGACTCTTGCTAAAGAGTGAACTCCTTCAACAATGCAACACTCTAAAGAAAAACTGATGGTACATGTATACCTGCTAACTCTGCTAATTTGGGTTTTCCTTGTTTCTCACGACTTGGAAAAAAAACTCAAGTTTACTTAGCCTTAACTGATGCATTATTGAAATAATAAAATACAGGGTAAGATAAACTTGAATCAAACTGAGAGAAGGAAAGAAAATATGAAGTTATGTGGCCTGCTTCCAACATATGCCTTTCTGTAGCTTAACCCTTTAACTCCCATGAGTGACCAAGACAGAATTTCTCCTTACAGTATCAATGCAATGTCAAGAACACAAGTGATGAGAATAAAGAAAAATATCAAGTAGGGGATTATATGTTGATCCAATACCAAATTCTCCAGACTAACATCACAATGGCAGATTGTAAGGAGAATTACTGACAAGATCTTGGGAGTTAAAGGGTTAATGAATAAAGGAGATAAGTTTGTAAAGAAACAATGGTGCTGTGTCAGTGGGAGAATATAACAGGGTAATTAATTATTATCAACTGGTATGATAAAGTAAATTGGCCACTTTAAAAAGTTTTATACTATTTACAGTGACCAATTTATGTTGTAAACTCAGTTGATAATACTTATAAAACAATTAACCTTTCATAGCTTAGTTGCTAGTATTGCCCAACTGTTACCTCCGAGGCACTGGTTTGAATCTTGTCGAAGCCTGAATGTTTTTCTGGCTTCTTTTCTGCAATTGTTTAAATTACAGCTCACCTGCAGGGATCATTGCTTTATTTAACCCTTTAACTCTCAGATCAAATTTGTAATTCTCCTCACTGTCAACCACACAATACAATTCCTATAATGTTTGTTTAGAGAATTTAGTTTTGGATCAACTAATTATCCCTAAATTGATCTTTTTCTTTATTCTTATCACTTATCTGGTTGATATTGTATAGATATTTTAAGGAGAAATTCTGTCTCAGTCACTCATGGGAGTTAAAGGTTAAGTAGGTATTACATGTCTCAACTCTTTTGTTGCTCATTGTTGGTCAAGAAAAGCCTTTGTAAAAATAGTTCCTTTTTGCCTACAGGTTGTGTTAGGATTTGCTTTCCGCATGTATGACTGGTTAACCGCAAGTTTTAATATCCACACCAAGACATGCTATACTGTTAACAGAGGTTACAACCAACCTCCTGTACAAAGCTGTGAGGGTAAGAAATACAAACAATATGCTTATTGATTTCCCTAAATGTAATGTTTTGCTGGTATTATTTTTCAGACAAACTCTGCCAATTAATTCAAAACTTGCCTTGCTTTACCCTTTGACCCCTAAGAGTGACCTGATTAAGCATCTTATTTCTCCCAACTGTATCATTCCTGAAACAAACATTCAGGTCACAAGAATAAAGGAAATGATCACCAACTGAAGGAGTTCTTGATTGTTATACAAATTCTCCATGTGAGCACTAAAGGAAATGTATCAAGAACATTATGGAGACTTTACATACTGATATTAGGGTATAAAGGGTTAACAGTTTTTCTCCCCTTTTTATGTGATTTGTCTGCTTCCAAAGGACTGTATTGATAATATTCTGTTCATTGTTGCATCTGTGCAAAGTGAAATTTCTCATGGTTTGTATTTGAGAGCATAATTCTGTTTTTTTATTTTTAGGTATGGGGGAGCTGTCATTTTTCTATGTTTATGCCATCTTCTATTTAAGTGGACTCATGATATCCATGTTTTTCTTGCTCTGCTTTTATCTCAGGTAATTTTTTTTTTGTGTTGTCATGACTAGATATGATTCTCATCAATGGTCTTAGGTTGTTTTTTTGGGTGTAATAGATATTTGATCTGCTAAAGATCAGATACACATGCATTATTGATTAAGCTTGTTTGGTCAAGATGGCTGGATATTGACCAATTTCTTTTTTTGTGTGTTTTCATGGATGGAGACGAAGTCAAGGCTTATGCAAAAAGGAACAAGACAAATATCCAGCTATTTTGACCAACAAACTTGGTCAATAAAAGATTCATTACTTAGCAAAAAAATTTCACTTTGATAAGAATAAAGAATGACTTTTTTTTTTTTTTTTTTTTTGAGAGCTGGGAAAGAAAGCCGGCCATGTTCCAAACACAATAAACCCACAAGAGTCATTTAATATGTTTTCTTGGTTTGTTTGTTTTTTTTTTTCTACCACTTTTTATGAACTTTTTAATTCCACTCCATGAAACTCTCATGGGATTGAAGCAGGTATTTCTGAGAGAGCAAGATGTGCCCATCTTGCCTGCTTACTAGGTAACCAATCAAAACACAAGATTTGCACCATATTGCCCACAGGTGCTGTCAGCTATGTAAAAGATGATATGACTGTTCCAGAACTGTTGGCCTTTTAGTACTTGTTTCTAAGGTCTACATATAATAATAAAATTGAACTGAAAACATGGAACTTAAATGCAGATATTTAAGATTAATTAAAGAGCCAGTGACTAACAGCACCTTTATTTAGAGAACACTGCAGGTCTGTTACAAGTCCTCTATATTTTTCTGTTGTATCCGTTCATTCATATCACCTACTGCATATTCACCCTGGCAACATTCAAGCTTGGAGTTTTTATGTTTGAGTTCAGTAGAGTCAGCTTTGTTGCAG